CGTGTCTGATGTCTCATACAGACTAGCAGAGATTTTGTAGCTGCCTGTCGCTCTACTGCAAACGCATGTCTGTGTAGGTATATACAGAACAAATACAATGGGCCTCTGAGCAAGCAGAGAGAGGATCCCTTGAGCTCTACTGGCGCACCTATTGGCTGTCGCTGAAGAAAGTTACTCTTCATTTGCGTAAAGTTGAAGGATTTTCAACCTTGTTGCATCGCTCGCAGTGCCCACCTGGTCGCCAACGGTCGCTGTCACTCGCGTAGACAGAGGTTGCTGGAAGTTGCTGACTCTCCGTTGAAATGAACGGTTGCTTGTCGCTTTGCTTCTGTGAGTCGCTTGTAGTGTGAATGAGGTTTGAGTATGAATTCCTTGGTAGATCTGGAACTGTGCTTTGGGTCATTGTCCTGCTGAATAATCCAACATTGGTGAAACTTCAACCTCTTAAATGATTCCTGAAAAGTCCAGTGTTGACCAGCTTTAGGGTCCTCTCAAATCAATTTTGTGTTGTAATCAATCAGCATTGAATGACTACAGGTTTTGAAATCCACACAAAACAGAGGGTGCATAGCCTATTTTTCACTTTCTCAATACTGCTAAACTGTATTTCTCTCTAAAAAACATGACAATATCTTGCTTTGTCAAGAAACCGAATGGCATAGCACTGCAATGTTCTGTTATAAAGAAAGAGCACATTGCAATACAGCTACAGAGGGGTGTCCAAACCTTTTCATACTGTATAGGGTAAAAATAAACTGTACTCGTACTCATAATCTTCTTTAGCTTTATGTCCTGAAATGCCCAGTTTATGGTTTATGGATTATTTTTTTAATGCTATGCATGGTCTTGTCATTATATTGCTTTCTCTAAACCAGTTGAGTTTATTTAGAGCAATGGCAGATTGTTACTTTAGAACTCGCTTAGTCTTATGAAATGTAAACATGGACAATATGTACTTTTTATTATCATAATATCCAACAACCTCTGTAACTGTGGTATGTATTTTGCCGACATGTGTACTTGCCTTATGTTAGCACAATGTTTTGAAGAATGTTCAAATACAGAAAAATAAGCAATTATAAATGGGCCGTGTCCTGTGTCACTATGCTAATGATTTCATACACATCAACCTTGTGTTGGTTTATTAGACTGCAGGGAGCAGCATTGTAAATAAATAAAAAACTTTTAAAATGTATTTAGTTAAACAGCACTGCTTCTTCCCCATGTGTTTAAGACTAAATTAGCTTAAAGAGGTCAACTGTAGCACAATAAACGCTCTGATGCTTTCGTGCTGTGCCACACTCAACAATTTGCAATTGCCTCTACGGTCTTGTCCTATAGGATGTAATTATGATGACAACTCCCATAATTCCACACTCAGTCACGGCATCATTAGACTACACCTTTGTTTGTTCTGAATATACTCACCCTCTAGCGGCAAAAACATATAGTGTGCCTTGAAAGTGACTTGATTATTTTTCAAGTGCTTTCATAAATGAGTGAATGAACATATGTATGTATGTATGTATGTATGTATATGTATGTATGTGTGTATATATATATATATATATATATATATATATATATATATATATATATATATATATATATATATATATAGAGAGAGAGAGAGAGAGAGAGAGAGAGAGAGAGAGAGAGAGATGTATATATAGATGTATGTGTGTGTACACAATATATATATATATATATATATATATATATATATATATATATATATATATATATATATATATATATATATATATATATATATATATATATATATATTTATCTTTAATTGCTATTTATCGTATATCAGTTAATCATTAGCTCTTTATTAACTCAAAAACCCCTGCTTGGGAACCCTAATAAGTCTTGAACAATGACTGTACTTGCACTTTTTTGTGAGATTCTCTCTCTCTCTCTCTCTCTCTCTCTCTCTCTCTCTCTCTCTCTCTCCCTCAAATTCAAATTCAAAGAGCTTTATTGTCATGACTGTAAAACAAATCACAATGTTGCCAAAGCAATAACAAAATAAAGGACATTCATATTGATAAAAGAAATATAAGTAATAATAAACAAACACATATACATATAGTTATTTTATACATATATGTTGTCACAATAAACAAGTTAATAAAAAAAAAAGATTAACAAAAGTATATAATAATAAATGGTAAGGACAGAGAGCTTTAATAAGGGATAAGGGGGTTCAGCCTTTTTCTCTCATATGGTGGCATGAGGACACGTACTGTGCTGCTAGGTGGAGACACTTTTCATTTTCTCCCAAAATATAATGAAGTTTCTCCGTATTTGTGGTGTGCTGGAATTGTGGTAGAATCAGAGACATTTGTGTGAAGTAAGCTCTCTCTCTCTCTCTCTCTCTCTCTCTCTCTCTCTCTCTCTCTCTCTCTCTCTCTCTCTCTCTCTCTCTCTCTCTCTCTCTCTCTCTCTCTCTCTCTCTCTCTCTCTCTCTCTCTCTCTCTCTCTCTCTCTCTCTCTCTCTCTCTCTCTCTCTCTCTCTCTCTCTCTCTGGAACTAGACATGGAGAAAGCACAATAATTTCATGACAGGAAGCTTTTATTCTATTAGATTTTATTGGCTATTTTGATTATAGTGGAATTATAATAGACAGATTGGATCATTATTGTGATTTCCGGAGCAACACTGAAGCATGTGTTAAATGTTGTTGAACACTGTTATAGCTGATTTTAGTCAACCATCCATGAAATATTCATCCATTTTTAAAAGTGGACGTTTTTGATGTGAGGGTGTGTTTATAATGTTTGGCTATGGTCAGGCCTTTGAAATGGAAACTCTTTGAACTCTTTGAAAGGAAAATTTTTCTCATGCATTACGTCTTGAGGCATTGTTGGATTAGATATTCTCCTGTTCCTTCATTAATGTTTTGGAAAGAATATAGTAAATGATTTTAAAACTAGGGATAAAAAACTAAACAATGACTCCCATTTTTAGATTTGTAGATCAAGAAAGTGCAAGTAATCGTCTAGATTGGAAGATTAAATAGAATGTGTATAAAATAAATTACAATTCTGTCATCATTGCTCACCATCATAAATATATATCTGAATGATTTTCATTTTTCGTGGGATAGAAAAGTAAGCCGAATGCTTAAAGTGGATGGCGACGACCGAAGGCTCTCATGCTCCATAACATGAATAAAATTATAATAAAACCAACTCTTGATATTATCAGCTAATATTACAGTACACTGATGTTAAAAGCACCCTCTGTGTTTACCTTCAGCATGTCACTGTTTTTCAATTAAATAACTCCAGATGTATATAGACAAAAGCATGGTATAGTAGCAATTTATTTTTATTTTATTTTTGTCTCAAAAGTAACAAACCTGACATTTTTTTCTTAAAGAGCAAATATTTCTCCTTTTTCAAGATTTAAAATAAGTCTTCAGAATGTGTCTGTAAAGTTTCAGCTCAAAACATCTGTCAGATTATTGTACCTTTCAGAATATTGGATTATTTTGCTCTGAACACAGTGTAGCTGTTTTTGTGGCCTTTGCCTTTAATGCTGGTTCTCCCCACTCATTATTTCCATGTGCCTATCAGAATGTGCCTCAATCTCAACCTCGGCTGCGTAAGATAAACAGCACAATGACAGACATGAAGGAAGCAGATCTCACGTAACGATTGTGAGAAATACTACAGTAAGAAATATCCCAATGATTATTTGATGTATTTGTTGTGGAGTTGCAACGATGAGTCACACACAATAGCTATGTTTCATCCAAATATTTTTATGCACATTTCGGATATGCGCATAAAAAACGGTTGATGGAAATGTCAAGATGTTCATCAATTTTGAAAATGTGCATAAAAAAACATATTGGCCTAACTGAGTAGGATAAACTTGTTATTCGATAAGAAAAAAATGCACCTAAACTATGATGGAAACACTTTTACCAAATAAGTTCCACTATGCGCATTAAAAAAAGTCATGTGACTTTGTTACAAGAGATTATGTGATGATAAAAATGTGTGCTAGTGGATAAACCAGCAGGCTGAGCACACTGTAAAACTTCTAAAGTGTTGTTTTGTTCATTCTAAAACATCTTACTGTTTAAGTATTCATGCACACACACACACACACACACACACACACAGTGTGTGAGTTTAACTTCGCACTGTTTTTGCATGCAAATGTGACAGGATGCACGTTAACATCCACTGCTGTTTGATTTAACGTTCACAAACCGTGATTGAAGCAACTTCTTTTACAATTGTACTGACACGCGGCTGTGGTGATGAAGTAAAGACGGTAAAATCTCTTTAATTCATTACTGACGTGCTCTATTTTGAAAAGGTTTTAAACTTGTGAAACTAAATTTTGATCATGTTTGATGATGATTGATCACAGCGAGCTGAACAAATCTTTTAATTCCAGTTGCTTTTCGCACATCTTGTCTTGATTATACTTGTTACTACAGAGGCATGTTAATATGCGGCTGTCAATCAAATTGGTGGGCGGGGACATCGCACTGTGACATCACTTTGTAGTGGGCCTCAAAATGGGAGGGGAATTTGATCCTATTTTAACGTCAGGAAATAAAAAAAAGAGAACTACTGTGTTTCTATCACTCCGAAATGACTCTGGACACACTATACCTCCACACAGTTCTTTCCAAACAGCTCCCAAAAGATGATTTTTATCATAGGTGCCCTTTAACACCCTGTCTATACCAGATGCAAACTGTATGCTGATGTTCTAACCTCTACAACTTGAGATTTTTAAAGACTGCAGAACTGTCATTGGAAACCAATGATCTACTGTATAACAAAGAAACCTGTAGCATTCTGAAATGTCATGGGATAACATTGTTTTACCAAGGCAATTAAAGAATATGGAAATTTTAACTGTGCTGTAGTCTCCTATTCTGACTCAATACCTTTCAGTGTTTTTCCGACTCAATTCCTTAACTCCTTTTTTCTCTCTGTTTCTGTTTTTTTTTTTTCTCCGAGTAGGATCCTAGGAGCAAGCACAAATTTAAGATCCACACTTATGGCAGTCCCACATTCTGTGACCACTGTGGGTCTCTTCTATATGGACTCATACACCAAGGAATGAAATGTGACTGTAAGTATAAAACAAAGCCTTTTTTAATGTATTGGTTTTATTATTATTGAAGTATTTATTGATTGGGGTGGTTATTTAAGGTCTTTGGTCGCCTCCATCTAGAGCTGCGCGATTAATCGAATCGAATCACAATCTTAATTTAAAACGTTTCGATTAGCTAATTGCAAGGAGCTATGATATAAAATATATATGTATTATTTAATTTTTCCCACCCTGAGCAAATGCCGTCTGTGTGTGTTTGCCTTACTAGCCAATTGAGTGAGCACACTTATGCTCTGCCCAATCAGAATTACTCAGTCGAACTATGCAGAACACCCACAATAAAAAATAAAACATACAGAAAAGCGTGGACAATTTGGATAATTGCGTCTGCTGTCACAGAAGCATTATTAGACGAGTTAATATCAAAGAAAAACAGGACATTGATAACATGGAAATATTTTGGTTTCAAAGTCACAGACGCCAAACAAAAAAGGGTCATTTTTAAGAGCTGTCGCAGAATTGTTGGAACTGCTGTCAGATTATTGACCTGAAGCTTAACTACAAAATTAAATCGCAAATCAAATCGCAATCGCATTATCTGTCAGAAAAATTGCTTTTAGATATTTTCCCCAAATCGCACAACCCTACCTCTGTCTCCATGCTAATATAAGAGGCATTTATTTTATTTATTATTAAAATCTGTTTGTGTTCACAGCCTGTGATATGAATGTCCATAAGCAGTGTGTGATGAATGTGCCAAGCCTTTGTGGAACGGACCACACAGAGAGACGGGGACGCCTTTACATGAAGATTGAGGTGATTGGCGACAAAATGCATGTCACAGGTAAGTTTCTCTTTTTTTAATATGGCCAACAATTTAACGGTGTAAATTATGTTTATGGCTCCTTTATTCCTCTATATACTTGTTGCCATATCCCATATCTAGATAGCAATAACTTTTACCTCTCAAATCACTGATCTGTTCTTTTCAGTAAAAGCACTTGCTCTAGGCTACAAACACGCAACTTATCCTTATGTAACTCACAGTCCAATTAAATATACCATTTCCATTATTTCTGTTAAATGATTAGCTTTTTTCAAAATACAACTCACTATCTTTATAAACTGTTCTCTCCCTGGGAACATTTTGACTAATAATTCAAGTTAGCACTTTTGCTGACTTCCACATTGCTGCTCATTCTTGCTAGATAGACCTGGCACCACCCCACTGATGTCTGTCTGCAAACCTAGCAAAAAACATAGTTCCCACTATTCTTCTTTTCCTCAGTTCAACATTTGTAGCAATGTGCTTTTCTGCTCAGAATGACACAAATACCAATTACTGTATCTCTGTTCAAATGTTCGAAAGGTGTTGCTCTGAGATCTATATTACATGTTATATTAAATATGGTTTATTTTGTGGATTATTAACTTTAGGCTGTGATTTAATAACTATAGGCATCTGCTTTGTCACATCTTTCATTAGCACACACTCAACCTTTACTGCTATGCAGATGACATGCAACTGTTTGTTCTGTTCACGAACTCCAATCTTATTGCTTCCACTAATGCCATCAGGGGTTAAATGCCATGAGTTGCAAAAAGGTGGTACCTTTGGTGTACAGCGTGAAATCAACAAAAACACAGAAAACAAAGTTCATGCGCTTACAAATTACAAACAAGCTATCATTTTATTAACTGAAGTCTATTTCTTCCACAATAACAACCAGACATTTTGCTTAATGCCACTTATTTTGCAGCTCATTCACTATGAAAGGTAGGTGTTCTGGTCAGTTCCAGCTCTTCCACATTTTAGTGACAACAGTTTTTTTTTTTTTGCCATTAAATTGTCACATAACTTTGTGTTAGCTATAACTTTGTTTTTTGAAATTTTCAGACAGGTTTAGGTCAGGAATTTGGGCTGGCCATTTTAATATTTCAATGTTTTCTGCTTCAAAAAATAACATTAACTGTTTTACTGTGTGACAGAGAGCGTTGTACTCAAAATCGCTGGCTGGTTGTGCAACGAACACAGGAAAAGAACTGTATGTTGTTGAAGAAACATCTAATTAAATATTTGCATTTTCTCTGTCGGGGCGAGGCAGTGGCGCAGAAGGTAGTGCTGTCGCCTCACAGCAAGAAGGTCGCTGGTTCGAACCTCGGCTCAGTTGGCGTTTCTGTGTGGAGTTTGCATGTTCTCCCTGCCTTCGCGTAGGTTTCCTCCTGGTGCTCAGATTTTCCCCACAGTCCAAAGACATGCGGTACAGTTGAATTGGGTAGGCTAAATTGACCGTAGAGTGTGTGTGTGTGAATGTGTGTGTGGATGTTGCCCAGAGATGGGTTGCGGCTGGAAGGGCATCCGCTAAGTAAAAACGTGCTGAATAAGTTGGCGGTTCATTCCGCTGTGGCGACCCCGGATTAATAAAGGGACTTAGCCGACAAGAAAATGAATTAATTTTCTCTGACAAATAGTTGTACAAGAAGCCTAACTTTTGCTGCAATAGACATACTCCTCCATCTTTCACTTACTTCATCACACATTTTGTGTTCAGTGTTTTAATAGTTTAATGATGACTAGTTAAATCCTTCATTAATAGATTCTGCTTAGCAGACCAATAAGTCTGAAATGTATAAATGGAATTAAATTTTGGGCAGTGGAAACTGCATGTGAGGCAACTAAGATACCATATGAGTATTATAGCTGCTTGAATGCAGGCATCCATTCAGGTGAGTGCTTAGAAGATAAGATAGCACTCACCATTCAACTGGTGATTCAGGGTTGTAGTTGTCAAGACATAATAAGCTCTATTTTAACAATCTAGGCGCAAAGTCTAAAGCACATGACACAAAAGCATAAATGGTAAGTCCGAATCCACTTTTGCTGTTTTAAGGACGAAAAATATGGTTTGCACTGTGACGCATGGTCTAACAGCGTTGTGCTTATCCTCTTAATGAGTTGTGGGTGGCGCGAAGCAGTAGGTAGTGCTGTCGCCTCACAGCAAAAAGGTCGCTGGTTGGAGCCTTGGCTCAGTTGGCGTTTCTGTGTGGAGTTTGCATGTTCTCCGTGCGTTCGTGTAGGTTTCCTCCGGGTTCCTCCGGGTGATCCAAAGACATGCTGTACAGGTGAATTGGGTAGACTAAATTGTCCGTAGTGTATGAGTGTTTTGTATACACTGAAAACATCCATCAGCGTATATATTTAATTTTGTTAAGCTCAAAGATTTGTTTCAAAACAATTTTTTCAATTCAGTTCTAATATTCAGCAAACAAATAAATGAAAAAAATAATAGTTATATCCAAACACACGTCTTACTCTTATTTCCCATATGGTCCAAAAACTGACAGGTGGACAAATCTAAGCTTGTTTTATTAAAACAAGTATAAATATGCGTATAATAAATAATAATACTTATAATAATATTATATAAAAGCAAGTTGTCATGAATAAACTGAAAAAAACCTGCAATTATGAAGGCATGGAGCTAGTGGTTTTTATATTTATGTAGAAAATAATAATTTTCTACATAAATATAAATATTTTCTTAATAATAGTAATATTTTAATTGTTCAATTCATTTTTTTTTTGTAGAGATATTTGCTTATTGTTGAACGTCCTATATGTATTAAGCAATGTGTAAGTGTTTAAGGCGCATAACTAACATTCTCTGCTTTGGACTTTAGACATGCATTCTGTTTTAGTTCTTCAAAACAGCAACGTGCCAAAAGTGTTCCTTAACACACCTCCTTTTTAGATCAGAACACCCATGGGTCCACAAAAAGGCACAAATGGATTTACTATTTAAACATTGTGGCGCAAAACGTAAAAATTAGGCTTGCATTGGTCTGAAAATAGCAACAAATCGCTCCAAACAGGTCTTGCGCCCTATTACGCTGGGTGTATGATAGGACCCAATGTCTCTGTTCCCACATTGAGGGAACAATGGATACACGCATACATAACTGAGACAATCTGAGACATTGGTCAGTAGGGGTGTGAACCTACACTGGACTTATGGTTCAGTTCGGTTAGGATTATCGATTCAGTTCAATTCGATATCTCAATGCATAAAGTTGCATTGGCAATGGTTTCAACACACAATTTTATGTTTGACTTTACAACACAAGAATATAGTTTTGTATTTTAATACAAGCAGTCAGATATATGAACTGTACCGTTACCTGCTCAAAGAAAACACTCTTTTTGAATGCATCAAATAAAACTCAAGTACATGCACAGAAGACAACATGAGCATTTATAACAAATAAACAAATGTAAATAGTAATTCCCTTTGCTTTTTGTAAACTCATTTGATTAGCCATTGGGTTCATACACTCAACAGAAAGGAGTGTGATTGGCTCTATCCATCAGCAATGTTCACTGAGCTGTAACACGAACACTGAAGAAAATCCATGATTATCACTGCTGATCCATGATAAACGCGGTGAAGAAAACTAGCTCCGCAGACATGCTCACAAGTATCACTGTTACAACCAAGAGAGGAGAATAAATGTTAACACACGTCAGCAGGTCAAAAGTCCAGAAATGAAGTTTACAGCTTTCATTTTCTCCCTATCAATAAAGTAGTTGCTCCTGGGTTTAGCTGTAACTTCAGTTTCAGTGAACATCTGTGCCAGCAAACTCACAAGCACTGAATTGTGCACAGTAACTGCTTTTTTTGTAGTTTTATTTACTCACGCTCCCCTTCTTCACCATAATAGGCAACCGCGCGTGTATGCAACATAGGGTCATTATGTAAATGTAGCCCTATAAACGTTTCTGGAAACTGCGAATTGTGTAGCCAAAGGTACGTATGGCTGCATTTCATTTTTTAAATAAACTTTACAGGGTGATATGACGCCATTCCTTTTCGCGCTTATCAGCTGACCGATTACCTCTGTATGGACTGCTTTCCCGCTGTTTAGGGAAGTGGGTGAAAGGGTCAATCAATATAATTGGGTAGGTTTAGGGAAGGAGGAGGGTGGGTCAGTCGATTGGTCAGTCAGTCAAACAGTCAGTCAACAGCAGCCTCTGGTGGGTTTACGCGAGTAAAGCAGGCGCGATTGGCATTCGTGAGAGAAATTTGAGATCTCAAAAAGCTAATACAGCAGACTCGGCGATTCGTGAAAACATATAATGCAAAACAAAACGTACGCCATGTACGTATTTTGCGATCTTCAGAAATGTATATAGAAGTACTTTTGCAGAATGAGCCTGGATAGCATGTATCCCATATAAGATAAATGACTTCTGTATGTAATAACCAGGTTATGATCTCATGCTGAACTGATACAGAATTGACACAGCATCGCAGTGCATCAAAGAAACATTTCATTTTGACACAGTGGAATCTGCACCAAACCATCTGAACATCGATAGCACCACTGAGATTGCACAGAATTTAGTTTAGTTTAGTTTAGGTCAAAACTTTGTTAATCCCCTTGGGGCAATTCATTCTGACATGGTGGTGCTTCACATATACATTATTGTTCACAATAAACATTAACACTGAACATCAAGTACACACACACGCATACACAAAAATAGATAACAATAATAATAACTAATAACAATAATAACCTATCGATTAACTACATTTATTACGTAACCGAATTGCTTCAGCCACAAAAGTAAATTTATAACCATTTGTAGAACATCTTATCGCCCTTAAATGTCACCCAAGGGGTATCCACTCAAAATATCTGCTCAAGGGGTGGGTGGTGTCTCCTAGTATTTTATGTGCCATCCTCAACACCTGCTGTTAGTAATAGTATGCCAGACTTTGCAGGGGAACTCCTAAAATATTTTTAGGCTAAAAAGGACAAAATACTTTCAATAAATTAATT